AGCACTCCAAAGGGCTAAGTGACTCATCACCTCACTGATGATGCCCTCCATTATGGACAGAGGTGAATTGCCAACCTTGCCTGCAGCTAGCTTCCTTACTTTTGAAGTTTCTCATTTCATCTAATTTGTAGGTTGCCCAAGACTCTTTACTGATATACATCTCAGAGCTTCAGTCCTTTATCAAATCTTTTACTAAAAAAGGAAAAGGAAGTATGGTATATCTATAAATGAGAAAAATAGACAAAGGTCCAGAAATATGGGAAACTAGGCTACAGAATCTATAGATCTATGCCAACATTTGGGGGAAGTCAACATGGGAGAATCAGGCCAAGAAAACTTTTTAAAGCATGGCAAAGTGATCATATTCCAAATTCCTTAGGGAGAGACATGTGTTTGCCCTCATGAAGTAAATTTATTTTGAAAATTTATTTTATTGTTTAAGTGTTTTGTCTGCATGGGTGTCTATGCACCATGCATGTACTTGGTGCCCGCAGAATCCAGAAGAGAGCATCAGATGCCCTGGAAATTGAGTTACAGATGGTTGTGAGCTGTCATGTGGGTGGTGGGACTAGAACCTGGATCCTCCGGAGGAATAGTCAGTATTCTGTACCACTGAATCATCAAATTGCTCCTGTGTGGATGTTTAAAGAAATCTACTCCAGCAGATGCCCAGATAAATCACAAGCTCACAACTGCTTATTTGTCTTATTCTTTATAAAGCTCCTGCTTGAAAAATGGCAGTTTCCTTCTCTCTCATTTGCATCTGGAGATTAACAATCTTTCACCACCTAAATTATTTCCTGGAGCCAAAACTGAGCACTAATGATTTCTTCCCCTTTGCTTACTGTAAGTTCTTTGCTTTTAACTTAAGATGAATCCCAGTTACAATCACATGTGAGTCCCTCCTATTGCGGAATAGAGAAGGTAAAGCAAAGTGCATCAGTATACTTAAGTCAAACTTTATTGCAAATAATAAATATGGTGTGGCTAACAAAATTTTTTTATATAAAATAGATAAATCAAAATAAATTGGGGACAAATGAACTGTTTGAGACTACTAATCAGTATATACTGAGTATTAAATAATATTGAAGAATCTTTGCTAATTGTATTTGATATAATAATGACCATGTGTTTCTATTAGTGGCTCTTTTTTTAACGAGAAATAAATACCTCACGTTTGGTATCACTTAGGAGTCACGAATGTTGGAAAAGCCATCTTTCACAGTTGGAAGACAAGGCTCTGTGAGCCTACATCAGGCAGGGAAGGAGTCATAACGTACATGAAGGTAAAATGTAATAGTCTGTATCTCTAACACTAAAATGGGGGTAGGGAGAACAGTGCTGTGAATTACTACTGTTAGCCGAGGGCACAGCACGGGGGTGGGGCTATCTGTGTCCCCACCAGTCATCAGCTTTGGGAGCTCTGTGTAATGGCCTTTCAGGGACCTCATCCATGAAGACAGATCACTACTTCTATAGACCGCCCCATCTAAAATTTCTTATCTTTGGGGCTGAAATTTTAATTTCTATAGCTCACAACCACCTGCCATAATGACAAGTCTGTTCTGGTTTAATGCAACTGTGCTCACCAGCTGTGTGTAGCAGGTTCCTGTCCTGAGTCTAGAGCATCTCCACTTTCTTAGCCGCCTTCCCCACTTCCACACTCACCATGGACAGGCCCCAATTTGTCTCTGTCCTGGCTGCTGTGAGGCAGAGTAAGATCATCCTCATGGCGTCAGGGTGCTGTAACATGACCCTGAAGTATGTCATTATTGAATTCCAAGTCTGATTCCATAGCCTCTCAAGTCTGGAATTCTAAAGTTGTAAATTGAGATGCTATTCTCTACCATAAGCTCAGTGTGGTTATTCCAGTGGAAATTTCTAAAACATTCCTAGTGATCAGCCACTTCTGGATCAGTTTACACGGACATCTTATACTATACAGCAGTCATCCCACATTTCTAGGCTCTGATACACTACTCACAGTAGAGGCAACAGAGTGGTTGTCCTGACATGCCACACGTTCCTCAAATCAGTCTACATTCTCTCAGCCTTCCAAACAGAACATCCACCTCCCAACTGAGCCCTGTCAGACCAGTTGCTTTCTCTGGCTCAATGATCTGCCCAGTTTGGAAAAAATAAAACATGGGCCATCACAGGGTAGCTCAACATCAAGCGATAGGGGCTGACGGATTCTCTCAGTGTGTTGCAAGGACCACAAGGGTAACAGAGCAAAAGAGAAGGAATGGAAGCATGGCTAGGCTGCCAAGCACACACTTTCCTGAACCTATGACACATGCACAACTAAATCAAGGAGGTGTCCAAAGTGATCAGAAAGACAGAAAAGGCCGTGGCAGTCTCTTCCAAGCCAGGGAGAGGGTAATGAAGACATCAGGCGGGAAGAAGGAATTAGGGTAACTTAGCAGAAACCTCAGTAGGAATGGAAGGGCAGATGAGGCTGGAGCACAGAAGTCGAAAAAGAGGAGGAAATCACACAATTAAGAAACTCAGTATAGATGGAAGGGTAGGATCCATGAATCTAGGGATAAGAAATCAAGTTTGGAGAAGCACAGAGAGGCCAGTCTGGATGGCACTGATTTCTCTATCAGGATCAACTAATCAAAGAGTGGTCCACATACAGCTAAAGAACTCGGGGTTCATCAAAGACTATACTGGGTGGGAAAGAAAAAACACGGTGAAAATATCAGGAAAGAAAAGGCACATCCCCAGCATAATGGATTAAGTGTGGTCAGAGAGGAAAGCAAAGTGTAAAGAGGGAAGATGACCAGTGTTACCTCAAGTAACAGGTGTGACTCACCCACACGCTCCTTCCTTCACATTTAAATGCATTTGTCACCAGACCTGTGAAAACCTTTCCACACTTTCCATCTAAGCTCCTTTATTCAGACAGACACCAGATGACCCTAATAGTGACTACAGAAACCACACATCCATCCCTGGGACTCCATGTAAAACGGGAACACTCTCGTCATCTGTTGCTGAGAGAACTAAGCTCCCTATTTCAAACATTCATCAGAGATCTCCGTGTTACCAGAGCTAAACCTAGCTAACTCAGTGACAGCTGGACACAATTCAAGCAATTTGTACCAATCAGCAATGCTTGTTACTTTTCCAAAAAGAAACAAAGGCCATTCAGAGGTCAGTACAATTTCCTGAGGTGCAGCTAAATAAAAGTTCTGCTTGCTTGTGACCATTAGGAAAAGGTAGTAACCTTGCCTTAGGCTTGCTGGGGCTTGGCCCACAGCCACCAAATAGTATGGGCAAATTCCTGTGATGTCAAAGCTCTTGACAGGGAAGTTGCTTCATAGCCTCCTGGTCACACCCCAAGGTCCCTGGACCAATGCCCAGCAAGTCCTCTGTCCCTGACTTTATCCCGGCTTACATTGCAAAAAACACATCTCAAACATTGCCCTGTTGTTTTCTCTGCCAACTGGGGAGAAACTGCCAAAGGCTTTCCAGAGAGCCACACCTGTCTGTGCTGCCTCCGAACAAAGGCTGCTCAAAGAGAGCCGCCAGCAGATCTGATAGAGATACCACCTCAGAGATGGATTATCGCCCGGAGCAAAGTCCTGCTTGCACAGAAGATGTACTTGACTCTCCCTGTCTTTTCTTCTGAACACTAAACTTTCAAGAGGACTGTCCCCTAGGACCTGAGCACTCTGATAATCAGATTATGTTAAACGAATTAGCAGCATGTCCTACGCCTAACTGCTTGTTAGGCCAAACTCTAGGAAACTACCAAAAGGGACAATTCTTGACTAAAGCCTTTTCCCTTTGTTTAGTGTAGGTGACTTATTTTATGGAAGCTTTGCAGATATGGTGTGGGTGTTAATCTTTTGGCGGATGTGCCTTGGGCCTTTTTGGAATTCAGTGAAATACCTCGACCCTTTTCTCAGGAAAATATGATGTGCCTGGTGTTCAAGCACACCCATGGTTTAGACAACTTCAGAGAGGGCATAAGCGAAACTGAGTTCAGTGGTTCACCCCAGGTTCATGAACTCCTCAGAACAAGAACCAGCAGGCTTCTATAAAGGGCAGAGCGTGAGTGGGTCTGGCTTTGCCCAACACCTCGGCTCAGTGAGTGTAGTGTGAAAGCAGGACAGATAGTGTGTGCACGATGGATGGCCACGACGTCTGTGGACACTCAAGCTTCCACCTCCTAGCAACTGCTCTTGTCAAAAATTGTTACTCTCCTCATCTCTTTTCAGTCACTGAAAAAAAAAAAAATCAAAGGTTTTCATATCTGCTGGCCCAGTCTGCCAAACTTCATTAGAGAGCCAAGGTGAAGCACATCAGAAAAGAACAATGCTATATCCTCCCTCTCACTGCCTTCTTAATAGGGGCCGGGATCCTTTCCTTGTGGATCTGTGCAGCAAACCACAGGCGTAGCTGCTGTCGGCGTGCTCGTAATTCTACTCTAGACTGTGCTCACTGTCAGATCTGTCACTGTATCTTAAGAAGTATATAGACGGAATATACAGTGGCTTTTTCCCTGCAACTTGCCTCAACTCAGTCATATTTTTCACTTTTTCTGTGGTGGGAAGGTGAGTGACAGGGAAAGTGTAAAACCCTCAGCTTCAGAGCAGTCTTTCTGACTGTATAAAAGTTCACAGAGATGAATAGCATTTGCAGCTGGGGAAGTGCTTACATGGTTCCTTAAACTACTGTATGATGTCTTCGCTTATAAATTGATTAGAATAAAGCCATTTTAAGCATGCATATTACTGCATCCTAATTTTTTTTTCTTTTTTGCACAGTGCTGGGGGTCCAACCCAGGCCTGGTGTGTCCTAGGCAAGCACAACTATATTTCAATTAACTGACTTGGTCTAACCCTAGAGTTTCATTGCATGGGTTTTTAAAACAATAGCCTAACAAGCAGCCCAGGGTTCTAATTATTTACTTCAGGAGCCCACAGCATAGGAAATGTCAACAGCTTATCCCCGAAGAGAACCTGCTCAACCAGAGCATCTCTTACCAATGCGTTCACATCTTCAGTCTTGTGGATGAGCGTGCGGATCTCCTCTGGATCACCGCTGAAGATGGCTTGGACCAGTGGTGGCTGCAAAAAAAAAAAAAAAACCAAGAGTCTGAGATTTAGGACCATTACTAATATGTAGATTTCCATTCTCATGTAGATAGCAGGAAGGAGATTTGTTCCCTCTAGGTTTATTCAAGAATTGCTGATGAGCAGGCAAAGATAAATAAGACCCAGGCTACATCCACCAGGAGTCTAGTGGGGGAGATAGTCACATAAAGAAATAACTCCAATACAACCTGGAAGCTGAGACACATAGCCACTGTCTGGGGGCTATGCACTAAAATACAGCAGAGTAAGAAAATCTCCCACAATTCAAAGTGTTTGTGATAAACCCTTAAAGTCCCTGTTGATGATACTACCAAATGCAGGATTTCTATAGTCAGCGCCTGTTAAACCTCTTCACCCACAACACAAATGTTAAAGTTAACTCTGAAAGTCACTGGAGACGGGGCCCTTGAGAGCTTACTGGGAGGTTCACAGCTACTCCTGTACCCTCAACAGAAGACTGGTCCTATGTCCTCATCCATCCAAATGCACAGCTTTGGGAGGGATGCACAGAGAGCAGTGAGGAAAGGAGAGGATGCCTACCTCGCAAGCCAGACCAGCTGAATCAACCCTGGCAATCAATGGCATGACAGATCCTGCAGCCAGATTGCCCTCACCTCTAAGACAAGGCCTTTATAGAGGAGGTTATGACTGAAACACTTGTTGACCAGTCTTTGAAAACACCTTGCAATCATTCCCAGATACTTCCATAGCTTTAGCCAACAGGCACTGACTGGTTTATGATGGTTACATCCATAAATAAGATATAACCAAAACTAGTTAACGAACAAGGTAGGAGACGGGGCAAAGAAGAACCCATTACACAGCTGAAGGAGTTATAAAATGTGATAAAGACCTAGCTGCAAGGGCAGTGAGCTCTGTGGGGTAAGAGGGAGGTAACGACCGGGTATCCAAAGACCCTGGAAGAAGGCCCCTTAACAATTGAGTGGAGAAGGAAGGGTACTCCATCCTAAAGAGAAAGTATGCAAAGGGGTGGCTATGCATAGAACCTGTCAGCCAGAAACCATCACTAACTGGGGAATGGCATGTGGGATAAAGAAGGATAAATGGAAAAACATCTCTTTCCTACCCACTTATCTCTCAGTCCTACTATGTGCCAAGGTGTAGGGACAGCTTTTCAATTTGTCAACAACTATACACCCAAAAAAAGATGGTTCTAAAAAACAAGGCAAGTTTTCTACTGGTCCAGTCATAGCTGGTGACTCTACAGAGACAGAGAGCCTCTTCTCTTTCCTGCTGCCTTCCTGTTAACCAAGTCACCAGCAGAATCATAGTCATCTTTTCACATCCTTCTGCCTTCTGGGCTCTCAGCAAAACACTGTTGGGTGAGTTTCTGCCTAAATGAATCTCAAGGGGAAAAACAATCAACAGCCATAAGACAATGTGTAGAGGCAGAGCCTGGAGGACTGTCCTGTTAAATCAACAGAGGTCACAAAACAGCTGACAAGTTCAGATTCTAAGATGCAAGCCCAACCCAGTCATTACTGCACCAGGACACAGTGAGCTGCACAGGGCCTCTCACTCAGGAGCACAAGGAATGCAGAAAAATCCTCTGCAGGACTCATTAAGGCCTCTGTGCTCCTCAAGGGAGGCAAGGCTCCAAGTAATGATTGGAATGTTCTCAAAGAGAGGCTCCTGGCCACAGCTGCCAGGGAAAGAGGCCAGAGCAGTCTCTAAGCACATGGAGGTGTGTCAAGCTTCCCAGTGCCCTGGGCCCAGCCATGCTGAGAGCCGCTTTGTAACGCTTGGTCAGACATGGATCTGCTGGTTTCCACAGGAAGAGCTGAGATTTTTGTCCTCCAGTGATGCTCTGAAATATACACATCTGCACATGCACAACCACACGTTTATGCACTGTGAGAATACATATCTATGCTTGGACATATATGCATAGAGGCATGTGTTAACTCACTTACAGATACCTCCCACTCTGCAAACGCGCCCATTGGTCACTCAGGTGCCACCACAGCTATGAGATCAACTGCCACTGTACTCAAGTACCCCTTACTTATCAATGGCCCCAAAGCACAACAGTAGTGGTGATGGCGATTTTATCATGGTATGACTGCTTTCTTTGATTACTGATTGTTACCGTTAATCTGTGAATCAAATGTTATCATAAGGGGGTGTCTATATACCTGGTTAAAAAGCATAATACACACTGTCCACTGTTTCAGGCACTCACTGGGTTTTGAGGAATACATCCCCTGCAGACAGGGAGAAACTACCATATTCCTTTTAAAACTCTGCACACTTTAATACAAGGATAATATGAGACTGGGCTGTGCAGAATTCAACAAGCTCACTCATAACAAGGGTCAAATTGTTTAAAAAAAAAAAAACAGGGGAAAGGGAGAATTTTAAGAGACGGAGCAGTCATCCCCACTTCTATTACTAGAATTTTCTTTGCACCTTAGCAGCTATATATTGGCAATGCTTGCCATGAACTGTGAATACTGGCGCTGGCCCCTGAGTAGACTCAGAAGACAGCTGGACACTTCCCAGCCTAGTTTCCCAGTAGCACAAGACAAACACATTTGGATGGGACTTGTCCTCAACTTCCATCCACTCCATCTTTCCTGAAAGGGAGGCCTGTCACATTTAGAAGTGACTGACTGCCAAGGTGACAACACTTGGCCGATAAGGACAGCAGAGCAGCAGGCTCCTTATATTTGATGGCCATTGTGAGCTCTGCAGCAAACATGAAAAAAAGTAAAGGTTCAGCAGAAATCCACTTGTCCTACTCATGGCCCTTTCATCCCAGTGCAGTACGTACCTTCCTCCCTTCCTTCCTCCCTTCCTTTCTTTCTCCCTTCCTCCCTTTCTACTCCCCTCCCTCCTTCCCTCCTTTTTTCTTTCTTTCTTTCTTTGAAGCCTTGGAAAACAAACCTGAAAAAACACTTCATTTTTCAAAGCTAAGACCATCAAGACAGTAGTCTCAAACTCTGAAGTAGGGTTACAATTCCACTAGGGGGCGCAAGATAGTAATTTGTTGTCCTATCAGTGTTCAGGTCCTATAATTAAGGGGAAGAAGTTACAGGTTCACTTCAGCTTCTAAGAAAGTTCTGTAACAAGCAAACATGTACACTCACACACACACACAGAGAGAGAGAGAGAGAGAGAGAGAGAGAGAGAGAGAGAGAGAGAGAGAGAGAGAGAGCATGAACACACCAAAAAGAAGTAAAGACGAAAATAATCAAACAGTATGTTTTAAACCCAGCCTTCCTACTGAGTTGTAAGCCCACTGTCTTAGGAAATAAGCACAGGGCTATCTGAACAAATTCTAGGTTCAAAAATGTCATTTTCATTATTTGAAAACACAATTCAGAGGACTGAGTAGATGGCTCAGTTGGTAAAGTAGCTGTCACGCAAACATGAGGACTTGAGTTCAGATCCTGGGTATTCATGTAGAACTAGGCACAGTGGCCTATCTGTAACCCCATGCTGGAGACAGGGCAGCAGAGACAGGCAGATCCACAGAGTCGTTGCCCAGCCAGCCTAGCTCAATCAATGAGCTGCAGGTTCAATGACAGACCTCTGCCTCGAAAAACAAGGTGAAGGCCAGGTATGATGGCAAAGCCTTTAATTCCACACTCAGGAAGCAGAGCAGATGAGTTCAAGGCCAGCCTGGTCTACATAGAGAGTTCCAGGAGAGCCAGGGCTTCATAACAGAGAAATCTGCCTCCATAAGCATTCGAATACACATGTACAAACAAACATGAACACATACACACACTACATATCAACACAGACAGAAATGAAAAGCACAATTCCTCTCTTACTTCCATTAAAATTATGTTAGCCATGGCATCAGCCATGCCATCCATTTAAGATAAAAGCCCTGGGGGCTGGGAAAGTGTATTTCATCCTGGGTTCAATCAGAGCAACTGACACAAAGGAAAAAGAAAAGGTAAACCGATAAGCTTGGGCTGGGGACATAGTCCACTGGTAGATTATTTACCTTACCGGCATGAGGGTCCAAGCCTCAGAGCATCAACAAAATCACATGTTCTATGGAAACCACTAACTAGACTTCTGCTAAACCCACTTTGGTCAGCTGCAAGCTCTGTACTAAGCAAACCTTGAATGAGAAGCAGAGGGACAGTGTGTCACTGAGGCCAGGAACTGGAGCCAGGGGTAACAGATCAAACACATGCAGAAGACGCCCTAGCACTGTCTACATCCCTGGCTCATTGCTTGTCTTTCTCTGACAAGATCTGGTAACTAAACCCCAAATATAAAAGCAAGCATCTTGCATTCTAATCAGGAATGGATCCTGGAATCAATCAATAACCAAGGGGAAGCAGTGATGTTCCTAAACATCTGTCTGTACTTGAACATCTCCCAGCATCGTGCGTCATTAACACAGGATGGAAGCATGTTATTAGTTCCTAATCGCTGACACAGCAATAATCTGGTCAGACAAAGCCACTCATGTGAGTGAGCTGGAATACTCATTAAGTAACAACTGCCTTTTATGAGGCAGAGATTGTATTTTTGCAAAAGGATAACAAAAATCTGTTCAAGCCACCTGATTTAATTTGGCTGTTGTTCTTTGTGCTGGTCCTGCTGTATGACAAAAATGTCACCAAGAATGCTGCTGAATGCTTCCTGACCATTGACCATTCTTACTTGGGAAACTCACACCATCACAAAAGATATTGATGATAATAAAAGCACTGTACGAACCAGACAGAATACACTTAACCCTCGTAAACATTATTTTTAGTTAGGGAGTGATGCAGAGTATTTGAAAATGTCTCTTAGGTGGGTGTGGTGGCTCACACCTGTAATCCTGGCACTTGGATCATCTTGGGAGATAGAGGGAGAAGTTCATGAGTTCCAGGGCAGCATGGGATATGGCAAACATCTGTCTATAAATTGATAATTAATTAATTAATGAAGTCTGGGGACTCAGTAAAGTTATAATTTCAATTATCAGAACCCACATTCAA